GTTAAATTGTTATTTTCAGAAAATAATTGGTTTTTAGATTGATAGATGGTGAAGAATATTAATAAAAAGAGAACTGCATGCTGTAATATTTTACTGTTTTTTTTGACATCATGTTAAACACAGAATATTTTCCATTAATGGCTAGGCAGTAAGAGCAGATGTGCTACAAAACACCCTACACATTTTAGCTCTACTTAAAAAAACATAAATATTTGTGTTAAAAATATCTGCAAATTACAGTATATTGTAGCACAATCCTTTTCTGTGTGTGTTCAAGTGTGTATTTTTACATCGAATGGGACATGTGTCAAACCAAATGCAGCATTTTAATTTTTCAGGCATATCCTTTTTTGGTGTGGGACTAAGAAACTGTTAGATACATGTAACTGTATTAACCTTTGAATGTCATTATCAACTTTTGACACCATTCAAAAATATTTCTGTACAGTCTGCTCCTGACATAAATTTTGATGAAAATTGACTAACTTTTTATCAAAAAGTAAAAGGCAATTTTAGGTACTGTCTGTATGATTCAAAATTATATTGAAATTTGAGGGAAATTTTGTAAAGTGTGTGAAAATTTATACGAATTGTTGGCGAAAAAAAATTTCTGGTTGTCAAAGAATTAAAGGGTATGTTATTGATTTTCTTTATCATGATTATTGAATATTATATTACAAAGTTCACAAATTGAAATTGTTGCACAGCGATCTGACTTGCAAACAGTATCAATATTAACAAATTAAGTATGAATAGGGGTGAATATGGGAGAGGTTGAACTTTTTAATGCATGCTGAACTTTTGATGTAACTCTTTATTCAAATGGTTGACAACATTATTACACAAGATGAGAAAATCAGTGTGATAACAATGTGCCATGCTGTGTTATGACATTATATCAACTATAGAGACAATGTTAAACTTAATCTGATATCCTGACACCAAATTAGAATTGATATTTGATAGGTACAGACATGTTACATATAGACTCACTGATGTATATGCATTAGTGACTTGTGGGGTAGGAATATTGCAAATTAACCTGTACTTTGAAGACCAACTTGTCAAACCCTGGGACTTTGCCAAATATTCATAAGAGATACTTCAGAAAAAATGTTGACAAGCACTTTGGCTTTTACTTGAATCATAGTGAAGTTCTAATCCAGATAGCGTATTAACTGTTAGATTAAGATGACATATGCTAATCCAGATAGCGTATTAACTGTTAGATTAAGATGACATATGCTAATCCAGATAGCGTATTAACTGTTAGATTAAGATGACATATGCTAATCCAGATAGCGCATTAACTATTAGATTAAGATGACATATGCTAATCCAGATAGCGTATTAACTGTTAGATTAAGATGACATATGCTAATCCAGATAGCGTATTAACTATTAGATTAAGATGACATATGCTAATCCAGATAGCGTATTAACTGTTAGATTAAGATCACTTACATGTCATCACCGTGAGGATGAAATTTACGCTATTGATTCAAATCCTAATATTGTTCAAATCTGGCTCTTTACTGGATGTTATTTTTTGGGTGTATAGAAAATAAAATCATATTCTGACATAACCTAATAAGTAGTTGTCAATTAGTGAATATTGACAAGGCTAAGTAGATAAAGTTTTCAAATATACTGCTACTGTATTATATCCATGAGTGTATTATATGCTTTAATTCTCACTATTTAATCAGGGTCATTCTAATAAGTGAAATTTGTTACCATGGCAACATCAAATGTATACTAATTCCAAAATTCTCTATCTTGTTACCAATGACAGTGTCATGCATAATGTGACGACCTGAAATATTACTGTCAAAAGATAGATCTGGTATTTTACTCTTATTTGAACCCAAAATTACACTGTCTGTTTTATACATACGAAATACATTTTTGCATTACAATAAATAAACCATCAATTATATTTGCTCCATTAAAAGTACATCTCCAATAGAATTCATGTGAATCGAAAATTTAATTTTTCTTACTGATTATAATATTACTTATTTTGACCCTAGAAACATCTATAGTTTACATAGCCACATGTGCTACTAATAGAACAAATATGGTATTTGGTCACTGAAATCAGCTGACATGACAGTAAAGATACTAAATGTCAATAATATTGAAATTAGTGATGATCGTTGTATTTGTACTTTTCCCTTTTATCAGTTCTAGTTTGCCTTTTTTTTTATTTTATTATTTTATCAGTACTTAATTATTTATTTTTCATTATTTTGTTCTGGGCTTTTGAGATTACCAAAACTTTAAATAAAAAAGAAACAATCTACAAATAAATAATGAAATAAAACAAAATTATATTAAATACAAATTTAAATCAGATTGTATTTACATTTGTGGTACAGTAATGTGCATGCTGACATCATACACTGACATTTTTCCTGTATTTATAAAATTATGCAATTGCTCATACTGTGTAAATGTATTCATTATTCACTAGTTTTTAATTCATCTATTTTTGCTGATAAATAAAATCCGCTAATTTAAATCTATGTGAACATGTAAAATAACAGTAGAACTCATTGATTCGCTGGCAAATTTGTGAACTTAAAACCTAGTGTTTAAAATATCAAAATAGTGAAATTAAATGGTTTTAATCCATAAAACAACAAAGTCAGTGTTATTTGAGCTCCATGGTTCTATAGTTCAAGTTAGGATGCACTACCCACCCTTACTCAGCTGTTACATTTGAAAAAGCAAAATTATCAACTATCATTGTACTTTATGACTTTGTCTTTACAGCAGCTGCAGGTAGCATGGAGTTGAGTGTTATACATACATGTAACATTTCTCATTGCAGGTCTGGATCACACCTCATTCTAGTCATGCTCACAAGTTTCCTGCAAATCACTGAAATATTCTGTGTATTGTTTGTGATTGAGTTTTGAACATTTTAGCCTGTTAGACTAATATCTTAGGTAAAACTGAGCTGTGATTTGTATTTGTGTCTGGCAGACATCAATGACAGCATGGTGCATTTCTTTTTCTGTAGACATAGGTTGTAGGTCAATAACCAATTTAAAAACCATTCTGGGATCATGTTGTCAGCTCCGAAGCCAATCAGTTTTCAGTAATGCCACTGGTATTGATTCACTCTCAACACACAATAACATTTGTTCACTTTTGATGAGATTTTTTGAGTGTTCACAGAATCTATTTTATCAATTTTATTCTGGGTCTTTGACGCTTCCATAGTTACACACCTGTACTGTTAATAATATTCCCAATAACATCTTCTGATCTGGCCTTTGATATTTGAATATTGTTTCCTCCCAGACAAAAATCACTGTCTCAGTCTAATCAATGTAGTATTGCTCATACATGTATGTGCTATACACTGTCAGGCCACAGTAAGTTAACAACATTTACATGTATTTATTTTATTTATTTTTAATTATTATATACATGTACATTATCTCTATATATTTTGAAATAACCCAATATACTATGTAAAACACTTTTTTGTTCAGCTTTACAAACTGCAATTTTGTCTTTGTTTTCAAAATGACATCTGTACAATATGCAGATGTGTTTTCCATTGGAATGAGTTCATTGACTTGCTGTTGTTTTGCTCAATTTGTAAATTGAATTGAACTGAACACAAAGAATTACTGACAAAGTTATTAAGAAATGTTTTGTGGATTTTTAGCTCCGCTGTCGACTTTGTCGAGCGGAGCTTATCATATGAGTGATTGTCCGTCGTCGTCGTCCGTCGTCGTCGTCCGTCGTCCGTGTCAATGTTTTACTTTTTCGACTTCTTCTTGAAAACTACAAGCCTGAATGCTTTGATACTTGGTGTATATGTACCTTGGGTAGACCTCTCTCAGATTTGTTCATTTCATGATGATATCTTCAATTCTCTAATTTTGGTGAATATTTTTGTCATTTTTAGTAAAAAGTGATATTTTCGACTTCTTGTTGAAAACCGCAAGTGCAATTGCTTTGATATTACATATATAG